CATCCAGTTTGTTCGCTCACAATCCCGCTAGATTCTCGGAGAATAACAAAACCTTTGAAGGCAAGCTGTAAACAAACCGACTGTCAGTTGTTCAACTTGGGTGACCATTGTCCAGTTTTATAGCAAATCCTTTCTTCGCATGAGTTAGCAGTGAACTAAATTAACGCCTTTGGGACCGAGGGATGCCTTCCGCTTCCCTTTGGAAGACCATTTTTGTTGATCGTGATACAAGTTTTAGTAAAAATTTTATACAGGAATTTACTCGAAGCATTTAAATTCGTTCACCAAGCTAAACTTGATGAGCTGTTCAGAACGGGTTGGGCGCACACGTTCACGCATATTCAGTGGAATGGAAAGATCCTTGGGGGGTGTAGGGCTGGTTGTCTTGGTCTCCAGATTTTCAGCTCTTAACTCCAAGTGGAAGGCGGTTTTTCTCAACATCGGTATCACTTGTATGCTCTCTTATTTACACTATTGATTCTCCGTGGCCCTATTTCACATCCATTAACCAATCACAATGGAGTACATTAGATCAGCTGATAAGTGAGCAGTCTTCAGTGCATCACTGACGCATTAATATATCCCGTTTCAGACGGGGTATACGAACGAATAGAATGTCCAAAGCATGCATCAAATTGTCCCAGGCTAAGTACTACTGTACTAGAAGAGATGACCTTAGGAAATTCTCGAATACTCCAAACATATTCCAGAACATCAGCCCGGATAACGCTTAGTGGACACCGCATCATTAAATTCAACGTAATTTGCATGGCTATCGACTGATTAAGTGAGAATAAGAAACAGCAGAATTATGCGAGCTCAGATAGTCGTTCGACATCTTGTCAGATTGTTTATTGTCATCACATTGAATAGAGGACGGTCAATCAACCAGATCCCTTCTAAGTTCCTGAGACCAGACCAGATGGCTAGCAGCACGATGGCGCCAGAATTAACTTTCTTTGACCACCACCGCCAAATCTACAAATATGTTTTGGCGTGCCAAGCACTTCATGTCACTGAGCTCAGATGTAGGCTAAAACTGGCTTTCAGCAAGGATCACCATGTTGGGAGCATCAGATCAAATCGTGGCTAACTGAAAAACAACAGGTGGATATCTTATTAGTGATGCATCCCTTAGTCTAGCCGTAGTGGACACCTCTGCGTTAAACTGCTAGGCTGATCCCGTCCCTGTCAACAAAGCTCCGAACATCCCCGGAACATTGATTTCACGACGGTGCTGGTGGTAACTCTCCCTAACGATTGTTGCACCAACCCAGCTAAATGACTGCTAACAGTGGCTTACCATATATGTGTCCAGGATGCATCTTCTGAGTGGCATGGGCCACACACTGAGTCATTTAGTGCATCTTGGGGTTCTACATTTCACTTGTATTCATACGAATGGGAAGAAGTGTGGATGATAGTTGGATAAACTGATGGCCATCCCGTTAACCTCTGGCCTTATCCTCTCGGGTTTGCACCACACACACAAGCTATTCAGGTGGATGCAGCTAAATTTATGGAGCAGTACCCAGTTTCCACCAACGTGGATTGATGTGTCATGCCAATTCGAAATAGCATGCCATCCCACCAAATAGACACTGAAGATCTACTGAAATCAGATGAGTATGCCAGATGTGGCCAATAAGGAATGTGTAAAAAATCAGCACAATGGAGACGGTGCCGTTATAGCTGGAACTCGGTGAATTTCAGGTCACACTGAAATTGGTCAAAGAGGCGAAGTTTGCTCAATGAAAAGGTAGAAGATATGTGGAAATTAGGTTTCGTACGTATATCGGTATAACCCGACAAACTAGAAATCCAGAAATCAGCGAAGAGTGACAACCAGCACGTACGTATTCGAATTGGCGAATATGTGCAGCATATGGAATATTAAAACAAGAGAATAATGAATAGA